AGTTCCCATGATTTAGAGCAGACACAGGATCTGAAATTCACACCAGCTCTTTGTGCACCCGGGTCCGGCCACGAGGGCCCAGGCCCAGGGAACAGGGACGCGCAGGCTTCCTATGTGATTTTACCACTGTGGCCCTGCTTCATCTCATGTTTAAAATAATTTGCCAGGTAAAAATAAACTTCTCAGAATCATAGAGTGAAAAATGTACTTAACAATTCAATCCCTGTAAGTTTGGGATTGACAGAGAAAGTGCAGCCGAAGCTAATTAAATTATCCAGTGTGTATTTGAATGGTGGTTTCCCTAGCAAGTTTATTAATTCACATCGTTATCATTGTCATTATTACTGCAACTGGTAAATTGTGCTTTTCATGAGATGGCAAAATGTGCAGGCTGCTGGCTTTCAGTTACGCCCTGCTTAGCTGTTGGTTTCTCTCCTGAGTACCATTCTTGAAAAGCAAACCTCATTTGTCCTGAATTCCACATCTCCAAATGGCATGTCCCGAATTATTTTTGTTTGTTACTCTTTGGAAATAATTAAAATCTACAAGGGGGTTTTGTTTTCCTTCTACTTTTACCAGTAATTCTTACAATAGGAATATGTATGATTCATGATGTCAGCTCTTTGCGGAGTGATTTTGCTGCATTTAGCTGATTTGTTAAACTCAGATTCCAAGGTTCAAATCCAGTGGAATAAGAACTGCTTTTTATATCTCAGGGACAATTTATGCTATATGTAGAGGAGTTTTTTGCAGTTAGATTGGTCTCATGCTATTAAATATCAATTGCTAATTTGTATATATTGGCAATTGTGTATATGCTCATTTGCCCAATAATTTTGGACAAATTTGAGAGGGACTTGACTAAAATGAACAAAGCTGAGCTGTAAAATACATTAGGCAAGCATGCCAAGTCTTCTTGATTCAATAAGAGCCTACCAAGTTTGTGCAAGATGCTTTATAAATCTGGGATAAAAGTTTCGACTTCTAGGCCTTCCTACTCAAAGTGTGGTCTCTAAACCGGCAGCACTGGTACCACCTGGGAGGTTGTTAAAAATGCAGAATCTCAGGGCAGTACAAGACCTACTGAATCAGAATCTGCACTTTATCAAGATTCCCAGGTGATTCATATGCACATTAAAGCTTGAAGAACATTGCTAGTGTATGGAGGAGAGATTTCTCCTCATCCCATACCCACCAGCGGCATCCTGCCACCATGATTTTCTGCACCCAACCTTGAAATACAAACTATTTTACAAACTTAGAAGTTATATTCTAAAATATATTCCCATACTAAAGAACTTTAATGTAATTTACTGAATATCTGTTTCAAAAAATTAAACACAAATGAAACATCTATTGCTAAGATGGTCTATCTTGCAACTCATGCTGGTTTGAAGGAAAGAATGAAGTGTGTTAGACAGTGATTAGGTAACTGACCTTACCCCCTATGATACAAAAATCACTTTTTTATTCCATGCCACAGGGTCTGCCTAATGTTGCATAATGAGAAAAGTCTTTAGGATATAGCAGCCTATAGACACTCTTTCCCCTCCCCCCTAATTTTTTGAAAACAAAAGAAAAAAAAGGGTAAAAGATTACATAAAATAATTTTTTTAAAAAATTAAAAATGTTAATTTGCAAAGTAAACACAATAGCGATTTGGAATCCACTTTTTTCCTACTATGAAGGCCTCCTTGAATTTTGTACCATAGCAAAGTAGTTCATTTTAGGAGCTACTTCCATGAATAACACCATTGTGTATTTATTTGATGGATCACAGTTACAAAGTACTTTTGCATATGATAATGACATTCCTCTTCTATTTTCATCTCAAATTAAAAATCAGTTATCTCTCCCTCACTCATAAAAATATTCATGCAAAAATAATTTGGCGTTCCAATAATCATATGTATGACAAACTTCTGTACATTAGGAATAAAATGTAAGTACTCATACTACTGCAGTTCTTGACAAAAAAAGAAATTGTAGTTCTTGGAGAAGGGCTCTCACTTAGAATTATTTTGAGCACAGAGAAGTAGCATTTCTGAAAAGGACCATCACTTTACAGAAATAGTTTTCTGAATGTTTTACACTCACTGCAACCATCTTTGAGGAGATACAAATAAAATGGTTTTCATGTATAGTAACTGTGATCCTCTTCTAAAAACAAATACACACTTTGGGTTTAAAAATCCCCTTGGTGATATGTACAGGAAGAGCTTTCACTGCAGTACGAATGCATTCTGAATTACTGTGAGGAGTTCTGGGAATCTCTAGCTCCTAGCATAAAAACAGTTGTTCTGTTCCCTCCTCAAAATACTTTGCAGAAGACTACTCAACTAATGCAAAAACTCTCAATTAATATTCACAGGTATCTGAGGACATCATGAGTTGTTTTAGGGTGATTGTTCTTCATGGCTCCTGCTGATGTTACAGAGATCACAGTGGGGCTGCTGACCCTAGTGCTGAGGACAGACAAGATTACTAGGAACGGCCATGGTTCGTCTGCTCTGGGGAGGGAAATGGTGGATGGTGGTGGCAGGGAGGCAGCAGAGAGGGAAGCAGCAAGAGCTTAAGGGGATATGGAAAAAAGAGTTGCTGCTCCTGGTCGGGGTCAGGGCAGGCTATGGTATGAAACAGTGCCTGGGAGCAGCAGAGCTTGCCTACATCCACACAGGTGAAGGCCCTATGGAAGTCTCATCTAGGGAACTTGGGAACTGAACGCATGCCCAGGAAACCAGAGTGAGTGCCATGATCCCAGGAGGTAGTTCTGAGCGGTCTGTTGGAGAAGAACCTGAGAAACAGATCCCTAGATTGGGGCCTGGTGGGAACGAAAAGGGGCACAACCCCCAGGAGTTTGCTTGGAAGTCATAAGACACACCCCTCCAGTAGGGGACAAAAAATCCCAGTGATGCCTCATTCCCAGTGATCCCTTTTGTCTAGTGGCCAAAGGTCAGGAAAGAGTCAGTGTAATGTTCCGAAGCAGAAGGCACCCTCTTGAATTCCATCAGAACTGCTGATGCGGCTGGATGGTCCATTATAGTGCCTGCAAGATGCCCAGGAGTAGATTCAAAACAGCTGAGATGGGACAGGGAGTGCACAAGAGCAGATGAGAAGAGCTGACGCAATGTAAAAATAAGAGAACAATCCATGTGGGTTGGGGGTAGGGGGTAAGGATTCCGAGTTCTGTTAAATGAAGCTGAGTCTTAACATGATCATGGGAGGAAGGGAAAAGGAACATTCATTTAGCACACAGTTTGCTTTTAGGTGTCATGCTAGTTGCCCACAATAAGCAAAAATGTTGCCAAAATCTGGGTCTGGATCATAGAATTTAGCTCCCAGCGGGAGGGAGAAAGACTATCTATCTTCTAGAGATTTTAGTAACTTGGAGCTAAAAGACATGTTGGAGATATTATTGTAGGTGAAGCGGGCATAAGGGATAGAAAGATGACCACATAATACAGCATGAAAGCTCTTTGAAAATTATGAATATGGGATGCACATATGAAAATTCACCCTCTAATAGGAAAAATACAAATGAAGATTCTTTGTGTGAGAGCCAAGCTAATGGCTTTGCATTGAAAATGCACAATAATTATTCATATGTCTATCAATCTTTGAAAGAAAACTTCCTGAGAGTTGAAATAAGAATACGTGACAAGGATCAGAACACGTAGATGCTCAGTGTTACAGAAATTTTAGCATTTACCCTATTATTACTGATAGTTAATATGGCAAGAATCTAGACATTTCAGAATTTTTATGTGCATTTCTAGAAAATATTATGAATGGCAATACTATACACCTTCTGTGTCTATAAGAATCAAGGTACCATTTAGTTTCCAGTATTTTTATCACCTTGGATTTTTGTCCCTATTAAGTGTTTTTACAGATCTAATTGAAATGCTGTCATTGGCTCTGTGAAGACTTCCTTAATTCTTCTAGGAAGTTAGTCTCCCCTTTCTCGGGATCCTGCAGCCTCCGTTCAGTCCTCCCTTGGAGCGTTATAAGTTATTTACCCCCGTTTGCCTCACTTCTTAGATTCTAAGCTCCTGGATACAGGGACTATGTTAATATATCCTTCAAGCCTGGCAGTATGTAAGCTTTAATTTTCCTAAATCCAAACAGACTAAAAAATGTTTTGTTTTTTTAAAAATTGGTATCTTAAAATTTTTTTCTGGGATGAGCCTAAAGTTTTGTTTTTACTCACTTTTTCCAAATGAATCTTTCACATTATAAAGGTAGTATGAAAAAACTATAAAAACACAGAAACGTTTGGAAAAAAATCTCCGATTCCACCTCAAGGTCACTGCTAATATTTTGGCAGAAGTAATTGTCGTTCAATGTTGTCTCAGACCCCAAATGACACTTGAGGTTGTCTTCATGAGAACATTACAAAATAAACAAAGTTTACTATGAGAATGTGAGTTCTGTTCCTCAGCTTTTCTTTTTTAAGCCCTCAGATGAGATATTTCTTAACCTTCTTTTACGGGGGGGCATTTAAAAATGGTGCACGTTCATTGTCGCCAACATTCCCGACTGGTAAATTGATAAATGGATCATCCTATTGTAGTTCTTGCACCTGCATGAGGCTGTCTTCGTAACATGCTTAGCCTGGCTGTAGTGGATACATCTGCTTTACAAGTTAACCGACAGAATTTGTTTATAAACCCACTGAAGAGCTAAATGAAGCAAAATGCATTATCGTACTTGCTAATTACATTTCATTTCAGCTGAAAGCTTATTACAGATACAGCTTGAAAACCCGATTTTTAAATTTTGTTTACATTAAGCTCCTGGAAGATATTTTTCTCCATAAAACTCAGGAAGAAGATCGAAGTTGACTGGACGACTCTCTGGTATTGGTTAATATCTTCTGAACTGTGCTTGCTAATAAGAAAAGACTTTTACTCCTGATATAGATTGGTATTATTATTTGTTTTGATGGACTCCTCAAACATCCAGAAATGCACAATGTCTTTCACTTGCCTTTAACTCACCACTTCCTGAGAGAAGGTTACATCTCTTACAGACCCTGCAACATGACTATAAGGATGAAACAAGCTGATATCCAAAGCCACACAGATCTGAACAAGCCGCATTCTTAACACTGTCACGTCAACTCAGCTGTGCTCTCTTCCTTTTTCATCAAAAAGAAACTGTGCCCAGCATTTCATTAACTGCTAGCTTTGTGTGTATTCAGGAATGGCAGGAACTGTGCTGACCTCGGCTCCGTTGCTAGTTGATCCTTCCCACAGTCCACCTGAAAAGCGATTTTCTCCTCCCACCATCTCCATCAATCTAGAGCAGTCAAAGATGATCATTACCTGCTACTCCCTGCTAGAACAGTCACCTGAAAAATCACCGTACTGCACAGTGACCCTGAATCTCTAGACTGTTCAGTTTATTGCACTCATTTACAATTTCTCTCTGATAAAATTAGACTTGCCTAATTTGTGTATTATGGCTACTTCTTCCTTAGCTTCTCCATTCTACCACACCTACAGATGCTACCTCAGAAGATCATCATGTACTTACGATGGCAGCAGAAGCAGCAGGCATTGAGTTACCTGGATACGACTGAAAGAGGCCTTGTTACTCTCTTCACTGACCTGCCTACACAGCAATTTTCAAAGTCCTTGGGGCCCTCTGGGTCCGCAAGAACCTTCAAGGGGTCCATGGGGTCAAAACCGTTTTCATAAAAATACTAAGGCAGTACCTGCCAGTTTCATCGTGTTAACATTTGAACTGATGGTTCAAAAGCAACAGTGGGTAAGTGTGCCAGCACCTTACACCTTAGCCTCAATCGAGGCAGTGGTGCCAAACTGCTAGTAGTTCTATTTTTCATCACTGTGCACTCACAGGGGGAAAAAAAGTCTGTAACTTAATAATGTCCTGATGAAGCAGTAAAAATTATTAATTTTATTAAATCTCAACCCTTCAATGTGACATAATGGGAAGTACACATACAGCACTTTGCTGCATACTAAAGTAGAATATACGTCTGTGCAGACATTTGAGTTGAGAGCTGAACTAGCTGTTTTTTTTTTTTTTTTCACAGAATGCCATTTTTACTTAAAAGAATGACTGACAAACTATGGTTATTCATACTTAGGTATTTGGCAGACATTTTGTCAAAAATAACAAAGTGAACTTGTCACTTCAAGGAGAACAACTGACAGTATTTGTTGCCAACAATAAGATCTAAGCTATCAAGCAAAAATTAGAATTTTGGAAAATTTGTATCTGCCATTGTGAGCTTGACAGCTTCTCCAATACTTAAAGGCTTTTCTGATAAGACTGGTGCAATAGAAAGAATGTGATCTGTTGATACTGAATTATGAAATGTGTCAACATTTGGAAAATCTGTATAACTTAGTGAAGCAACATTTTCCAAATGACCAATGCATGATGTTACAAAATCAGACACGAGTGAAAGGTCCATTTGAAGTGTGAAATAGACCAACTGATTTTAATGTACTGGTATGAAGAACAGGGTAAGTTCATTGATACTATTTTCAGATTCCATATTGCAATATCTTTTAAGAAACTGCCACTTGTTGAGTTTTGGTGTAGTATCAAAGAATAATCACAATTATCCAAAAAGGTTATCCAAAATTCTCTTTCTAACTGTGTGAGGCTGGATTTTCTTCATATATTTCAATAAAAACAATATGTCACAACAGATTGAATGCAGAAACGGATATGAGAATTCACTTAACTTGTATTAAGCCAGATATTAAAGAGATTTGAAAAAATAAAATGTTACTATTCTCACTAAATGTTTTTGTTTTTGAAAATATACTTTGCATTAAAACTAATATGTGTTTATCATTGCTATTTAAGAGTAAATTAATAATTATTTTTAAAATTTTTGTTTTAATTTCTAATATAGATATCAATAGATATAACCCAAATAAATTGAAGTTTTTTGGGGTTATCAATAATGTTTAAGCACACAAAGGGGTCTTAAGCCCCAAAATTTGAGGTCTTCTGTTCTATATCATGCTATGATTTGGGTAGTAAAATTATCTATTGTCTAACTATGTTCTTACTTCAAGGTAGCTATCTGTACACAAATTTTTGTGTTTGCATGTATGGCAGAAAATAAATTTCTAATATTATATGTAACTGAATAAACAATCCATGTAAAGTCAAATTTGTGAAATCTTGTTACATAATCAAGGAACTTCTGTCTTAGACCACTAAGTTTTTCAATATATTAAAAATAATCATTCTTATAAACAAGAATCATTAAGGAAAAAAGATATGACTGACTTTAAATTTTTCTTATTTTCTAATATATGTATTTAATACTATAAAATGTTCTCTAAGCACTGCTTTTATTGCATCCCACAAATTTTGATAAGTCATATTTTCATTTTTATTTAAGTTAAACTATTTTAAAATTTCTCTTGAGACTTTTTTGATCCATGTATTTAGAAGTAATTTCCAAATATTTGGGAAATATTTTTCATCTATCTTTCTGTTAATGATTTCTAACTTAATTGATCTGAGCATATGCTTTGTATAATTTCTAAGTTCTTTGTTGCCCAAAATGTGGCCCCTGTTGGTATATGCTTCATGTGATCTCGGGAAGAATGCGTGTCTGCTGTTGGTGGTGGGAGATGTCAATGAGATCGAGTTGATGAATCATGCTGTTCAGGTCACATAATCCTGACTTATTTTCTGCCTGTTTGATCTATCATTTACTAACAGGGGAACAGCAAAGTCTCCAACTGTAATCATGGGTTTTCTAATTTCTCCTTGTACTTCTGTTAGTTTTGCCTCATGTGTCTTGGTGCTCCTTTATAGGCACATACACAGTAGGGCTTGTTAGTGTCTTCTTAGAGAATTGAACCCTTTTTCATGATGTAACGTTCCTCTTTCTCCCTGATCTTCTTTGTTCTGAAGTCAGCTTTTTCTGATATTAATATGATTACTTTAGCTTTCTTTTGGTTAGTTTAAATATGGTATACCTTTATCCATCCCTTTATTTGAGACTTTATATTTAAAGTATATTTCTCATAGACAACGTAGCTGGCTCCTATTTTTTAACCACTCTAACAATTTCTGTCTTTAATGGGTGTGTTTAAACCTATCATATTTAAAGTACTATTGATATAGTTGGACTACTACCTACTACGCTTGTAACTTTCCTATTTATTGCATTTTTGGGTTTATTTCCTTTGTTTTTCCACCTTCTCTGGTTTTTTATTTGTTTGTGTTTTTTTGTTTTTTTTGCTTTTTTTTTTTTTTTTTTTTTTGAGACAGAGTCTCACTCTGTTGCCTGGGCTAGAGTGAGTGCCGTGGCGTCAGCCTCGCTTACAGCAACCTCAAACTCCTGGGCTCAAGCAATCCTCCTGCCTCAGCCTCCCGAGTAGCTGGGACTACAGGCATGCGCCACCATGCCCGGCTAATTTTTCTATTTTTAGTAAAGACAGGGTCTCGCTCTTGCTCAGGCTGATCTCGAACTCCTGAGCTCAAGCAATCCTCCCACTTTGGACTCTCAGAGTGCTAGGATTACAGGCGTGAGACACCACGCTCAGCCCTTCCCTGGTTTTAACTGAGACTTTATAATTCCATTTTATTTAATATATTATTGTATCAATTCTACTTTTAAAAAATTTAGTGGTTGCCCTAGAATTTACAGTATACATTGTTAACTAATGTAAGTCTATTTTCAAAGAAAACAGACTTTTATTAGTTTAGTGCAGGTGTCTTATAACAGACTATTCCTAATTTCTCTCTACCGTCCTTTGTGACATTGCTGTCATCCATTTCTCTTATCCATATGATGTACTCACCTAATTCATTGTTAACATTGTTGCTTTAAACACTTTCCTATTAGATCAATTACAAATAAGAGAAATAAAAGATTTTACCTTCATTTATTCCTTCTTTGACACTCTTCTTTTCTTTATATAGATCCAACTTTCTGACCTATGTCAATTTCTTTCTTCCTGAAGGACTTTTTAAAGCATTTCTTGCAGGGTATGTCTACTGGTGATTAATTCCCTCAGTTTTTGTTTGCCTGAGAAAGTATTTTTCCTTCACTTTTGAAAGGCAATTTTGCAGGATACAGAATTCTAGATTGGTGAGGTTTTTCCTTTCTGCACTTTAAAGATTTAACTTCACTTTGTTCTTGCTTGCATGGTTTCTGATGAAAAGTATGCTATAATTCTTGTCCTTATTCTTCCATAGGTTAGGTGTTTCCCCCTCTGCCTTTGGCTTTTTTCAAGATTTTTTTCCGTGTTTTTGATTTGCTTCAGTTTAAATATGATATGCCTAGGTTTTTTTGTTTTTATGGGTTCATTTATTTGGTTAGCTTTTGTATTTATCTTGTTTGGTGTTCTCTGAGCTTCCTGAATCTATGGTTTGGTGTTTGTCATTAATTCTGGAAAATTCTTAGACATCATTACTTCAAGTATTTCTTCTGCTCTGTCCTTAGTTTTGTCTCCTTCTGGTATTCCAATTATGCAGATGTTACACCTTTTGAAATTTTCCCACAGTTCTATTCTGCTTTTGTTTTGTTTTATTTTTATTCTTGTTTCTCTTTGCACTTCAGTTTAGGAAGTTTCTATTGATCTGTCTTCAGGCTAACTGATTCTTTCTTCGGTCCTGTTGAACATGCTGATGAGCTCATCAAAGACATTTGTAATTTCTGTGATAGTGTTTTTGATTTCTAACATTTTCTTTTGATTCTTTCTTAGACTTTCCATCCCTCTGTTACATTACCCAAATATTCTTGCAAGTTCTTTACTTTTTCTTCTAAAGCCCTTAGCATATTAATCATTGTTATTTTAAATTCCTTGTGTGATAATTCCAAAAGCTATGTCATTTCCCAGTCTGATTATGATGCTTGTTTCATCTCTTCAGACTGTTTTTCTCATTGCCTTTTAGCATGCCTTGTAATTTTTTGCTGAAAGCAAGGCATAATATATTATTGTATTGAGTAATAGGAATCAAGGTAAATAGGCCTTTAGTGTGAGGACTTATGCTAATCTGGCTAAGAGTTAGACTGTGTTTAATGTTTTCTGTAGCTATAGGTGCCAGAGGCTTCACCTTCCTTTTAGGGTCCTTGATTTTGTCTCCTCATGTG